AGTGAAAGTGTGGAAACTGCTTGTTTAAAATTATATATGTTGTTATTTTTAAGTGTCTTTTCAAGTCATAGGGTTTCCTAGTAGTGTCTGGTGGATCTGAACCACCGACCTTGCAGTTCAAACTGACCTTGTGCACTATCCTTCAATGCCACATGTTGTTGTTGTTACGTACTATAGAGTCGATTCTGACCTATAGCGACCTATAGGGTTTGTGGCTGGTGAGCTTGAACCATAAACTTTGCAGTTCAAACTGACTTTGCAGTCCAATGCATTGATCTGCAGACCCACACCAGGACTCCATATAGAAGGAAGAAAAAATACATGTTAGATAAGAACGGCCCAGAGAGGCAAACATAGCTCTTGTTACTCAACAAGGTATGTTGTTAAGTGCCTTTGAGTCAGATCAGAGTACCTATACAGGGTTTCTGAGGAGTGGCTGGTAGAGTTGAACTGCCGACCTTGGGTTCAAACAGACCTTGCAGATAGTTCAGTGATTTAATCCTATAGCGCCCCACCAGAAAGTGTAGTTTATGTTAAAGAATAAGAAGGAGCTTGAAAGCAGAGAAATTGTAGGTGGGCAAATAGACAATATTACTGAGAGAACAAGATATAGAAATTATGAAAATAGAAAACGTAGGCTTTTAAGATCCTAGCCTGAAGAAACTTGCCTCTGATTTGGAGGTCACAATTTTTTCTAGTGGAAAGAATGAGAACATAGAGGAAAATGTCACTTAGAAAACTGAAAAAGTTGAGGTGAAGTAAAATATTGTAGGTAAGGAAGCTCATTTTTGAAAATTACGATTTTAATGAAATGGTAAAGATGTGTTTTAAGAAAGATAATGAAATATAAGCAACTGAATAGTTAAAGAGAAGGGTAAGTGTGTAGAAAGACAATTGTGGGAAAATAAGCTTTGAAATAAGAAAAACCTGTTGAAATTAGGCTACATGAATTTATATATGGGCCAAGTCATCCTAGGTAGTTCAGATGATGGAAGAAGAAGGGGAGGATAGTTATCACTAATCGAACACTGGAGGTGACACTACATGTGTAAATATTATATCTGTTACTTTTTATGAAATTGTATAGAGGCTTGGTTTACAGAACTTGAAAAGAGGTTTAGGTGAGTGATTGAGTAATGTCATTTGTTATTGTTAAGTGCTGGTGAGTTGGTTCCAACTCATAGTGACCCTGTATAGGATTTCCAAGGATCTGCTGGTGAGTTTGAACCACTGACTTTGTAATTAGACTGCAGTGACACTTGGTTAGCTAGTAATAGGTTTGGAATTACAATAGAGATTTATTGTATTTTGCTGTTTTCACTATACCTGTAAAAGGAGTTCTTGATAGTCTATTACTGTAGACCTATTAACAGGAAAGCTTTACTTATTATAAAGTTTATTTGTGATAATATTCTCTCATCCACCAAAACATCAGTTGCTGAAAAAATATGTCTTATGATTTATAATCACTTTTTAGTTCTAATTCTCCAAATTCTAGTCATAGCTACATTTAACTGTATATTGCTGAATTTGTGTGTTTTTTTAAATTATTCTACATTTCAAAGGATTTACTATTCAAAAATTATTAGTATTTATTTTTCTATAATAATTAATGTAGCCTCAGCATCAGAAGCAAAATTCTTAAACAGCCATTTTTGTCATACAGATAAAATAATATTACTTTCCAGTTGAAAGATAAAATGGTACTAAAAGTAACTTTTTTATTTTCACTAATTTAAAATGCTAAAAAAAAAGATTTTTTAGAGGTTTCTGTTCTTATATAAAATTTTACAACAGATATCTTAATATATTAATGTTCTTTGAATATAATGTTAATTATATTTTTAAAATGTATATTAGAAATTTTACTAAAATATATTTAACTTAAAACTACTAAACTGTAATTCTGCATAGTAAATGGATACAAACATTTTGCTTATAAACTGTTAAGGAGACAAACATACACATTTATATTGTATCACTGAAATGTTGTTTCCTATGGATTTTTGTTTCATTTTATCTGTGATTGAAAGCAATTACCAATGCCATTTCATGAATCTAATTAATAGCACTATTAAATTAAAGGTTACTTTAGTATATTTATGTACATCTGTTAATGAGGAGGAATTTTTTGCTCCTAGTAATTTCAGAGAGCAACTGAAGTACAAATTTTTTGGAATCTTTTTGTGGCTATAAATTAAATTTGTAAAAGGAAGAGATATTTTATGTTTTACAAATATCTACAAGGATAATAGCAATAAATCTTATCATTTCTTTATTGCACTATATTTGTATTATTTTAGGAATTTAAGACAATCTTTTGTCCCTTGACACACAACCATTTAATTTTCACTTGTTTACTTAAAATACTAAACTAATTTCTTGTAAGATTATGATGCATATTAACCAAATATTTTAATTATTTTAAATGCATTAATGTTGCCCAGAAATTTTAAAGTATTGCTTTTATTCCTATGGAAAATAAACACCATCAGAATTGGCAGGGACAATGCTGATGAATGAGAATTACATCACTTACTGATTTTGTTGTTGTTAGTTCCATCCAAGTCGGTCCTAACTCATACAGACCCTGGACAGGGTGTGAACCACTGACCTTGTGGTTAGCAGTCCAGTGCTTATTCATACAGCCCCACAACAGGATAGGCCCAATAATAGTCAACATATATTCAAGCAGAAAGAAAGGCAATGAGTAAATCCAGAGAAAATAACATTACTCAAAGTTTTTAAAAAATCATAAAGTTGAGATTTGTTAATATCATGACAACATGATGACTAAATGGTAGAAAACAGTTTGTCTCAGCTTTCAGTTGGCATGGATCATCTACAATGAAACTTTTATATTACCTTGTTAATATTAAATTAATCAGCTTTCAAGGATCCATTATACCCTCATAACAATCTAAGTAAAACCTTATGTTTACTGTCTTTATGGTAAGTATGAAAGTACTTCATATTGCTTCATCCTGAATCACTTAGGATTATGACTTTATCCTCATAATTCTTTGCAGCATTTAAAGACTATGTTGAGAATTGGTATACTAGGTAAGTCGATGCCACAGTGAATCTGTAGTACTTCAGGTAGATTTTACCCTGGCATAAATAGTGAATATGACTGTGTAAATAATGGACTTGGATTTTAGCTTATATTGGGAGAAAAAAAAACACACATAGATTTATTTAATTTCATATTGGTGACAGCAACTGGTTTTATTTAGTCAGCAACCTCATTACTTACCTGTGTTTAATACAGATTTTAAAGTATATGTTAATTACTCCTAAAAATACTTGGTGATAGATAGCAACTGTAATGAGAAAATAAAACCATTATGACTTAATTTATAAGATATATGGTAGAATGAGGTCACCAGCATATTCTCCAGTGTAATATTTGCATGGAAAAGAGAATATTAGGCACTGTTTTCAATGACTGAAAATGGAAGTAACTCTGGAGAAATTATCCTGGAGTTTATTATAAAGAGCAAAATTTAAAAATAAGGGGTTCAGACCATTTTTTTCTTCTTATATAAGGAATTATTGTGTTACTTTAACATCTTTAACCTCACCTTTTGGAGGAATGAGTACTATTTAATCAAAATCATGGTAATGCTTAACATTACGTCCAAGTTTACCTCGAAGTATCTTAGGTTTTAACTTCAGAATCAGGAATCACTTAAGGAGTGGACTACTTAAGACAATCCACTGTTAGAAGCAATCTTATTTTGTTGCAGGTGCCCTGTAAATTTCTTTTTGTTTTACTTGTAACTATTCAATTCAAATGACAAAAACTTGGAAATTTTAAATGCAAAAATATGACTTTGTTATATAATTTCATCAACTTTCCCTGGCACTGTTGAACCTTTAAAGTTATGCTTTTGCTCATATCTGAGTAAATTATATATATAATTTTAAATTTACTCATATATATAATTATATATATAATTTACTCAGATATATATATACACACACACACATAATGTATACACACACACATATATATAATACAATGTTCATATATAATTGTTTCTATACTAGAAATATATATATATATATATATTATACTTTTAGGTTCTTTTCTTAGACATGAGAAGCTTTTAAAATATCTTAATGGATTTTCACCTCTAATATAATGTGGCCTCAAGTATAACATGATATAAACATATATGTATAATTGTATATATGCTTAGAAGTTAAGTAAACAATAAATATCATTCCTAATATGTTTGTGCTTATTTTCAACACAGGTTAATTATGCTAACAAGATATTATACCCTTCATTTATATTAAAATTTTAGTGTTTATCATAAATGGTAAAAATACGGTAATTTTAGGATGTTATTAGTTATATGTTTATTAATATGAAGTTAATGTTTACATTTTCAGACGGGCTCTAAATTTATTAAAAATTAATGTTTTAGAAGATAATGTGATATTAAGAACTCAGAACTGCAAATTTAATTGCTTTTAAGTATGGATCCCTAAATTCATGTGGAATCAACTTGTTGGTGATGTTCAACATCATATTAAGTAGGTGGATACTTTTATGCCAAAGTAAACTTCATTTCACCACTTCTTCAAATCCCAGACTGTATTCATTGATAGAAAAAAGACTCTTTACATTTTAATCATAAATGTTCTTCAATTTTTGTTTTGATATCTTTTTCCCCAAAGAAAACATGAGGGAAAAGAAAAGAAATTACTATTCATGAATATGGTCAGGATACCTTTAATACTCATGTGAATTTATCAATCACCATCATGATTTCAAGTCATGAATTTATTTTTACATGCTTATGCATGCATATTTACATGCATTAATTACTTAATTGATCTTAAATTCCATTAAATTTGAATGAATAGGAGAAAATTTGTTCATAGGATTTTGTTCTCGTTATATTACATTTTATTTTCTTTTGTTTTGTTTAAAAAATCAGTTTAAGGCTTATAAAGGTTGATTTGCTCCTGAACTGCTTTGTTCCCAGACATTGCCATCTTCCCCAACTACCACCAAGTCCTCTCCATCTGATCCCATGACCACCTCCAGAGCTAATCAGGTACAGTATCATCCTGTCATCTACACCATACTTTTCACGGGTGATTGCCTGCAAACTGGAGAAAAAGATAATGGTGGGTTAAGGATTTATTCGTTCATTCACATTTATGCACCATGATCTGATTCCAAATAACCTAAGGAGGAAATAGAAATTATTCCTAAAATTTATATGTATATTTAATTTTAGATAACAAAAATATATTCAAATGGTAGAGTACTAGCATTTTGGACTTTTTAAGACTACTTTGTGAGTTGGTGTTTTTAATCTCCCTTGTTATATCTTCCTAGGATTCTTGGTATATAAGTTAAGGCTATCATATATGTAAAAATACAAATGCATAAATAAGACCTATTGAGCAAAGGTATATCTTGAAAAGTGAGTGCAATTTTATTTGTTTTTCATTTGAGACATGCCTTATTATTAAATTACTGATGAAAAATATTTCTAGCATTTCAACAATAATTTGTGATCATTTTACTGAAGAGATGATATTTTCATGAAGATGAATTGTAGCATTGTTGCCAGAGTGGAAAACTGCATTTAAAACTGTTTTATTAGTTTTATTATAATTGTTTTGGAACTGAATATTTGTAGGTCTTTCTTCAAAAATGTAGTCAGTTATGTTGTCACATTTAAAGACATTAATTAAAACATTTTATGTAACTTAGCTCTATACAATACTTAAGGACACAATAATGTATTTATTAAAATGATTAAGCATATTTTTATTTTGTCTGAGTTGATCTTCACTTAGGTGAGAATTATTATTTTAATATTTTCACACTTTTACTAATGCAAAGACTTACCGGAATTTTTAATATTAAGTAAAAACATATTTTTACTACATTTTTCATATAGCTGACCAATTATTAATATATAACTATATTTGCTGAAGATACGTAGCTTTTACATACAATCTAATAAAAAGTTATCGGGCTGATTTTGCTTGCTTATTGGTTGTAATGTTTTTTTGCTGTCTCAGGAAAAAAATTTTAATATAATGACTGAAAGCAAAATTAACACTATGAGGAATTAATTTTTATTGTATGTAGTGCCATTTTGGGGGGACAGAAATACTTTATGATGGTTCCTTTTTAACCCCAACAAATTGTTAAATGAAGTACACGTGTCTGGTGATGAATCTCAACACTTCACTTTGAAGGAAAATGGTAGTACTTAAATGAGACTCAAGCTTCTGTTATGCATTCATGAAGTTTGACAGTATATAGACATTTTCACTCTACATACACAAACTGTGTCTTCGACTTGAATTTTGGTCATGTGGTATAGAGAAAACAATTGGGAATACAACTAATTTTATGTATTTTAAAGCTTCTCTTTTATCTCATTGTTGTTTCCTTTTCAAACAAAATAAGAGCGACAACCATAAAACCCTGGGCCTAGTAAGAAAGAACACTGAGAAGTTTTATTTTAGAAATTAGACTTATATTTTCTATTTATTTTATTTGAGCACTTGAATTTTATTCAATTTCTTAAGAAGGCCAATTATACATCTACATTTACTAATAGTATCTTTTTGTCCATGAGATATGTTACTGCATTCACCTCTGTCAAATCTAATTTGCTTATTTGAAATGATAAGTCTGTTCTGGTTTAATATTTTGTCCACTCTCTTAAGTTTTCAGATATATTTGTTAGTTGTGTTTTATTTATAATCTGTTGTCTTACGCTCCATCAAGTATAATATCTCCTGAATAGCATAAAGCACAATTTAAGAGAAGGAAAAAAACAATAGGTTTTAATTTATTGAAGGAGCTGTAAAATTGTCATTAATCTTCAGTGTTATTAGTAGGTTGTTACCATTTTATTTCCTGTAGTATGATTTCCAAAGAGATTGTTTTCATGTGGTAAAGTATAAGGCAATTTGTTCTTTGTTGTTCATTTGGACCTTGTATTATACAGCTCACAATTGTTTCCTGTGGATAGCTGTAATTAATTCAGCTTCACTCTATTGACATGTCTCTAGTGTCATGTCATGACCAACATAGGAAAATGCGTTCTATCTGTGCGCTATATAAATGCTAAGTTCTATTTATTTTTATCCTAAAATATAAGTGATAGTAAAAGAGAAAGCTTATTCTTTAAGATAAATAATATGTAAGAAACAGTTTATTAAAACTGTTTGAGTTTTATTTTAAAATAAATATTCTAATATTAGATATGTTTCTTTTTCATCTTAGAATATTCCCGTAATGAAAGACTCTGTATGCTCTTTAAATTTGCCTCAGCTACATTACAATTATTTTCTTCTCTCCCAAGAGTACTGTTAACTGTTCTAATTATTAAATCAAACTTGGTTGTTGTTTTCCATTGTAAAATGTAAAGTTAGAAAGGCTCATATATATGAATATTTTTATATATCACATTTTTTTTGCATATTGCATGGTACATGTTTGATTTATTACATATGGGATTTTAAATATACAGGAAATATTAGGATATAGTGAATATTATTTGATTCTTTAAGTAAATATATTTATACTTACAAAAATATTTATTAAAAACAGAACAGTTGGATTCAATCATTTCAAAGTTTTGGGTACTAAATTATTCAATTCATTAAGACTCAGCGAAGTAGTTTAATCAGTCACTAATACTAAATATCAGTTCCAACCTTTGTTTAGTTTGTTAGTTGTTAGCTCTGTTAAGGTTCTTCTCAAATTTCAGTGGTGAATGATTTCAGAATTATGTGCTTTATAGAAAATTTTAATTTTTTAATACATCTTCAGTTATATAATAGATATTTTCAAGATGCTTAAAACAAATGAAAGCAGATGGCATACATAACACACTTGCTGTGGCTACAGAAAACTACAACAAGCTGAATGATCTCCAAATTGACCCTCAATTCTGCCACAGTCCTAAGCCCCATTACTTTCTTACTCTCTAAATAATTGTTTCACACAGTTGCCTCTCATTTCAATTCCTTATTACCTTTCTACTATATAGCAAATTACTAGAAAATTAGTGTCATATAATTGTGGTGGTTGTTAGTGCCATCAGGTCAATTCCTACCACTAGTGACCATATATAGGGTTTCTGAGGAGCAGCTGGTGAGCTTGAACCGCCGACCTTGCAGTTCAAATGGCTTTGCAGCCTGGTGCATTAACCCACAGCGCCACACCAGGACTCTTATAATGGAGGTAGTGGTGGTTAAGTGCTGTTGAGTTGGTTTCAACTCATGATCCTGATAGGGTTTCTGAGGAGCAGCTGGTGGATTTCAACTGCCAACCTTGCAGTTAGTAGTCAGTGCTTATGCTAGCCCAAGACTCCAGTGGCTTATCATTGCTGTTGTTGTTAAGTGCCATAGAGTAGGTTTTGTCTTATAGTGACCCTGTTTAGGGTTTCCAAAGAGTGACTGGTGAGTTTGAACTGCCAACCTTGAGGTTCAAACCAGCCTAGTGGACCAGTGCTTATCCTACAGCACCACACCAGGACTCCATAATAGAGTTTATTTATTATCTCTGTTGTTCAGGAATCCAAGAACCGCTTAACTGTGTTGTCTGCATGTGTTCTCAAAGGTTGTAATCAGGTAGTTTGCAGTCTGCGTTCTCATCTACATGATCAACTAGGGAGGAGTCTGTTTACAAGCTAATCCAGGGTATTCAGAATAGTTAGTTCTTGTAACTGTATATCCGAGTGTGCTGAATGGCTGTTAACTAGACACCTTTTTCTGACTAGTAGGCCAGGTACAGTTCCTGCCAAGTGGCCCTTTTGATAGACAGCTCACAACCTGGCTCTTAGTTTTTTCAAAGCCATCAGGAGAATCTCTCTCCACTGTGTGCTAGCAAAATGGAGTCTTCTGTATTGCACCTAATCTGAGAAGTAATGTTGCATTCCCTTTGCCATGTAACATGTAACACAATTTAATGATGGGAGTGGCATTCCATTACCTTGCCATATTCTGTTGGACAGAGACACTGATCTTGCTCAAAGAAAAGAGAGTTAGCACCAGTCTCAAGATCATGGGAGCCATATTAGAATTTGCATACCTCAGCCCCTCAATATTAGTGATTCCATACTCATTCTCAGTTAGGATGATTACTTTAAACTTACAGTGATGATTTTAATTCCTACTTCATTGAGAAAATGGAAGCAGTCTGAAAACAAGTTTGAGAAACTCAACACCAAACACAAACTCATTGACCAGCATCCATACCCACATACTTTGCCTTTTCATCTGTCACCGTAGGTATACTTACCATGCTCCTGTTTTAAATAATTTTATTTGTACAGTCTGTTTTCCTCAGTAATTCTGTCTTCTATCCTATTAAGCAAAATTTTAAAAAATGATTAAAGATTTTGAAAAGACGGTTTATAGAAGAGGAAATGGAAATGTCCAATACGCATATAAGTAGGTTTAATTTACCTCACCTGGCATCAGGGAAATACGAATCATCATTGTAAAATTAGATATTTTTATTTGCCAAATAGGCATGCATTTTGTGTGTCTGCATTTTATACGCACCTATCAGATATATCATGCAGGCAATGATTAATATATGTGCATGTATGTGTTTGGACATGTGTGTGTGTGTGTATGTGTGTTTATAAATCAAAAGTGCTGACCTATGTATTGGAACCAAGCATTTTCAAAACATTGCGGACACAAGAAATGCTACATTGTTACATCTTTTGGAAATCTATCTTGTGAAATGTAATGCAGTTGTCTATAGAAATAAAGTAACAGACAGTGTTTTGTTCCATAATACATAGGGTACTCTGAGTTGTAAAGGACTTGACTTTAGAGCACCTAACAACAATAACATTATAGAAATATAGATACTATGCAATGTAGTGTGACACTGTATACAATGGGGGGCTGGGGGGGGGGAGAAGGAAACAGCCTAGTCTCTAACAAGAGAATGGTTGACTAAATTATGGTATTGTAGAATATTATGTGGTGAGGCTTTTTAAAAAAATGAGTTAGATACACGTAAATTGGCTTAATGTTGGTTATTTCCAGCAAGTTGATTCTG